CCGCCCTCCTCTCCCTCCCTCCCGCCCTCGCTCCCGCCCCCCAGGACTTTATCCAGGGCCAAGGAGATAGGCCACGCGATGGGAAAGAAAAGGAAGATGAGGCCCCAGACCAGTGGGGTCATGCGAGAGCCAAGCTTGAGCTGGTTCGGACCCAAGAAGACGGCGGAGGGGAGGATCTCCTGGAGAGGGAAGAAAGGAAGGTAGGGAGGGCGTGTGTACAGATTTTGGAAATTCTCTGACCCGTACCTACGAAGCTGCAAAAGGATCGTTATAAATTTTAAGAAAGCGCCCGTCCCAGAGGAATAGAGAAGGAAAGCGAGGGAGGGCGGAAGACATGGGAGGAAAAAAGGGCAAGAAGTGCCTCGTACCCCGAAAAAAAGGACGGCGGTAACCGAGAGGATGACAGCCACGTAACCTGGCACCAGCTCGCCTAAAGCTAGGGGTAGGGCCTCGGCAGCCATGGAGTTGAACAGAAGGAGCGTGACCAGGAGCAGGTGCCGGTGGGCGAGGAGGGGGAGGATGGCGGCGGCGTGGTGCTTGTCCGTGGGGGTGCCGGCGCGCTGCTTGATCTCCAAGTCCAGCGTGTCGATGGAAAGGAGCCCGATTGTCAACCCCGAGGCTAAGGCAGCGAACAGGACGCAGATCAAGGCGAGGCCCAGGTTGACGAAGTCTTTAACTCTGAGGGGCCACGAGGCGGGATGAAGGCAGGAGGGAAGACAGAGGAGCAATCAAGAGTGAGCCCATTTCAATGCTGTGGATCTTCAACCTCTGATCTCCTTTCTATCGGTAATTCCTTCTGCCCTCCTCCTTCGCCCGCCGCACTCACTCTTTGAACTCGGAGAACCCCCTGCTATCCGTGTCCAGGGGCCCCCCCATGCTGCTCGAATGCTTCACCCTCAAAGACCGCCGGCCAGGTAACGGTTTTTCTTCCTCTTTCTCATCGACCTTGGCTTCATTATTTCGTCCCGTCGGTAATGCCAGCGTCTGCGGTTCCTCCCGCATGTCAGGCCGCTCTGGACGTTTTGGCTTCCTCGTCCCCGCCGCTCCCTCCTCAGTCCAGCTGTGGCTTGTCATGACTATGCCCAACGTGTCCACAGCTTCGAGATCGTAGTTTCCACTTCTATCACCGATTTTTGGCGACACAATGATAAAGATGTGTCGAAGCAAATCATTGCAGAAAGGTGCAGCCTGAGAGTCCTGGTAGCGACGCGCTAAAGCCTTCGGGAGACATTGGATTACAGGTTGAAAGGTCATGAATAGTCCAAATGGGAGAAAGGGAAAAAGTTTGGATCGGTATGCATTCGGAGAAACAATGCTTTTTAGGATAGAGAGGACAGACTCACCGCTTCACACTTGTCCATCCATTGGGAAGCTACATCATCGCCGCGCGGAAACGCTGATGTATGTATTCCGCAGCTCAAAATGGCGATCACGATTCCCCACAAACAGGACATTTAAGATCAAGAACGGAGAGGAGAGACCTGGCAATGTCCGTAGCGTGACTGTGAAATCCAAAGTCACAAATCGAGGATTCAAGTAATGATGCTTCCCGTAGTACTCCAAGTGACGTCACTGAATCCGATGCGGACACCAGAAGCCAGAAATTATCTCTAGGATCTGGATAAGGACACATCTTGTATGATTAGAGCAGCAACGAAAAACTGAATAGCGCAGATTTTCTAGAGGCAAGTAGAAACTCTCCTGCTTCGCTTTTCAAGCAAAGAGGTGCTTTGACCTATAATGTTGAGCAAGAAACATGCCTCACTCACGAAAGGAAAAGGAGCACATCGGCAAATAAAAGGACAATTTACTACCTCGCACTGGTTCAGTATCATGAATGCGCGATGCTTTATATAGCTTCTGCACGGGGTGTGCATCTTTATTGAGTTCGTGACATGGACCTTATGGTTCGGTCGTCGGGGTATTCGGAAATTCTCGGGGGATATCTTTGCATCTAAGGTTCCCGGAAGCCAGCTAGGACAGACGCGTACCACATTTTCTCTTAATTTTGTCTCGGCGTTACCACACCTCTGCTTTCCCCTTCGATTGGTGATATGGTGTCTCAGTACATATGTCAGCTTATAGATACAAAAGCTTTATGGCCGAGAAGTGTTGGAGACCTCCTCACTAAACCTATTCCTCACAGCATGTTTCCTCATTTAGTCTAGCCTTCAGTCTTCCAAGGTTTCACACTAGACTGCAACAGCGGTCTCAGATCATATTTTTCATTGTAACATTTTCCTCTTCTCCATTTATCTTCAATGTATGGCTTATGGTTTCTGCGCCAGACCACAGCTACCACAACTTGCCGGTTCAAGTGAAAGAACTGTAATGAAATGTCTACTTATGCACCAGACACAATATGTGCTAATTTTTGTAAGCTCTATTTGAACACCAGACACAATATGTGCTAATTTTTGTAAGCTCGTCGCCCGTGTTGAAGACTTTCTTAAAAATCACAAATCTTTTTCAGTCATTTGACCCAACAATGGTTTGGCGATTCTTTCGAGCCACTTCCACCGAACGTAGCTCGTGCGTTTGCGAACGTAACCCTAGTGAAATTAATATTGTAGGCACTCTTTGAACTGAATGTAGTTTAGTTTACGTAACAAAACTCAATGACACCTATTATTCACGCTCCGTATATCTTAGCACGATGAAAAATCTTTGCAATGATGGGCATGCCACCGAAATGTATTCAGTTCATTCTTGGATTCGGTGTATTAATCACGATACAAGATGTTCTGTGGATGTGCAGGCAATCACTAATTCTATGCGGGGTAAAATTCCTCGAACGTATCCCCGCTCAACCTTTGCGAGCAATATTGTGTATGCACTCCAAACCTAAGAAATTCTATGTTAATCTGATGAAAGGTGTTGAAAACTAGCAAACAAAAAGCTCTGAGAAAACAGTCTCTTATTTCTATCAATTGCATGAAGAAAATCCACGAATCGCAAAATACAAAATCGAAATGGACGTACGAAAATGAAGAATAGGAATTGGAATAAACGATTTAAAAATGAAGGAAATTTAATGAAGAAATCTCTACGTCCAGTTAAAATTCTATCTTGAAGGTGCTTGTTCATGATGAATGTAAGACCTAAAGTCAATTTCTGCTCAATCATTAATGAAAATGGGAAAATAAGGAGTGCAACAGTCAGAAATTTTGAACCCGAGCGACGCCAGCCTTGACGACCTTCTCGGCACTACAGTAACGACATAACGCTAGAACATTTAAAACATTCGATAGGCTGGACCCGTTGATACAATGTGAGAGCAATCATGCATGGAGTTAGGCACCCAGCACGCCCCCTGTACTGCTACTAGTAGCAGGCGACTGACTTGGGTGAGGACGTTGCCTGGTACACATAACACGCTATGCAGAGAACTGCATTCAACTTTTGATTTGATAGTTGCCACTTAA